AACAATTCCTTTCCCTTCTCTCACATGGTAACCCTACTGTTATCTCGGATTCTCTCCACAAGGCTTCGATATAAGCCGTCGATGTCCTCACCGCCATGGCCGTCCCTCTCGAGCTCTCCGACCGCGAATCCTTAATCAAATCCGCAAGCACTTCGTTGAACAGCAAGGTTGTTAGCCAATACTCAACTCTTCTGGCGCCGCTAGCCGTTGATTCTGTTCTCTCTGTCGTTGATCCAGAAAAGCCGGATATGGTTGATTTAGGAGATATCAAGATTGTGAAAAAGCTGGGGGGGACCGTGGACGATACGGAGTTAGTTAAAGGGTTGGTTTTTGATAAGAAAGCGAGCCATGCAGCTGGAGGACCGACCAGAATGGAGAAGGCAAAAATTGCGGTAATTCAGTTTCAGATTTCCCCTCCTAAAACTGATATTGAACAGAGTATTGTAGTTTCAGATTATACCCAAATGGATAGGATATTGAAGGAGGAAAGGAATTATAGGTATGATTAAGAAGATTAGGGCAACTGGTTGTAATGTTTTGTTGATTCAAAAGAGTATTTTGAGGGATGCAGTCACGGATTTGTCATTGCATTATTTGGCCAAAGCAAAGATTATGGTTATTAAGGATGTTGAGAGGGATGAGATTGAGTTCATTACCAAGACTTTGAATTGTTTGCCTATTGCTAATATTGAGCATTTTCGAGTGGAGAAGTTGGGGCATGCGGATCTTGTTGAGGAGGTTTCCCTTGGGGATGGTAAGATTGATAAGGTTAATGGGATTAAGGATATGGGAAGGACTACAACTGTCTTGGTTCGGGGTTCGGATCAGTTGGTTATTGATGAAGCTGAGAGGAGTTTACATGATCCCTTATGTGTGGTTAGGTGTTTGGTGAATAAGAGGTTTTTGATTGCGGGTGGTGGTGGTCCAGAGGTTGAGTTGTCGAGGCAGCTTGGTGCTTGGTCTAAGGTGTTGCATGGGATGGAGGGGTATTGTGTGAGGTCTTTTGCTGAGTCTCTTGAAGTTATTCCTTACACGTTGGCTGAGAATGCTGGGTTGAACCTTATTGCTATTGTGACTGAGTTGAGGAATCGGCATGCACAAGGGGAAATCAATGCCAGGATCAATGTGAGGAAGGGACAGATTACTAACATCTTGGAGGAGAATGTTGTGCAACCACTGCTTGTAAGCACAAGTGCAATTACACTGGCAACAGAGTGTGTGAGGATGATTTTGAAGATTGATGATATTGTTAATGTGAGGTAGTTTTGTGCACTGGAGATGAAATTTGTATTTCTAGTTATCTTTTATTTCCGTGTTCTATCTGAATTAGTGGTATTGTTTCCTTCTAGAATTAACAATGCTTAAAAATTATGAATTGGCAATCTACTGCCAAATATTTTCTCTCAACAAGGTCACTTTATGGTGGCTTTTTCGTAAGTTTTGTTTGTCTTCATTTGTTCGATTGAATTCAGACTGATAATTTTTTCCCTTCAACTTTAATTTTTTTTTTATTTGTTTGTTTTTTTAATGAATGATCCTCTTCTATGTAGTTTGGTGAAAGATGAAAAAAAGCCATGCAGCATGCACCATTCAAAGACTTGTCTAGAATGATAATGAGTGTTATCAAATTGACTTAGTTGCAACAGGTTTTGATTAGATACCAGATGCAATGGTTTGATTAGTTTTAGTTGCAAGGAATTGTGCTATTTGGAATAAGTAGGCGAAGCCCAAATCAGGTTTGTTTAGGCAAAATCTTTTGGAATGTTAATCCACTAATGTAGGAATTTTTTTCTCTTTTTGGTTGAAACACATGTATAAATGGTTAACCTACAAACATATTAAAATTTTCTTGTCATCTAACGCTGCTTGCTGTCACCTGGAACTTTGCAGTTTGTGATTTCTGATGCATCAATTAATGCCTAGCTCTAGTTATGAAGAGTACCAGCTTCTAGCAGTTTAGCTCAATTCTTAGGTCTTTTAAATGGAATTCTAGTATTTTGCCAATATATAGTCCATATAAATTCAGAATTTGTCATCTCACTAAAATTAACACATAGGATTTATATGATTTTTCATTAAAGAAGTATTTAAAAGATTTTGGTTATGTGGTAAAGTTGTGGATTAATATTAAAAGTATAGAAATGTACACTAAGGCTTTGCTTGGTAAGAAGGATTGAGGTGGGTGAGGATGAAAAATTTGTTAATCTAATAGTTAAGCTACAAAGTAAGAAAATGGTTATGATTTTAACCATTAGATTAACAAGTTTTTCATCTTCACCTCTTTCCATCATTCTTACCAAGCAAAGCCTAAAAGTTCATTAAATAAACTACATAAGGTAGGGTTGGACAAGTGAATGGATTATTGCACTGCTTCCATTATCCTCTTTCTAAGTATCTGTTTTTCATTTATTGCCCGGAAAAGATTTGCGGGGGGCTAGGTATCATCTCAGCTTCCTTGTTTTTGTTGCTGGAATTAGTTTGATAATAAAGCTTAATTAAGTTTGAGACGAGGCAAGTTCTTAATATTCTCTATCGACAATGCATTTGATCTGGAAAAGATGAGCATGGGGATGGGAACCAACAGGGCTTCCTTGTTTTAGGTGATTGTAGTCTGAGATGAGTCATGCTTCTTGGTATGCTTTCTGGACCATGCATTCTGCTCTAATTATAAATTCTGGCAAATCCCATTGAGCATGTATGCTTTAATATGTTTAGATGTGTCCTCTCACATACATATTGTTTCATATGCGGCCTTTTATGGTGTATTACAAGAAATGGAATGGGATTCTTGAGGATTTTACTATTTTATCATTTCTAGGATGACTAGAAAGCTTGATCCTTGTGAAATTCTGAACTCAAAAGCACTTTTCCATCTAAGCATCTCTTGTTAACCTTTTGGCATCAATTCATTTCGTTCTTTCTTGTTTTTGGAAATGTTTTGATTCTAAAAATGATATTTCGTAACCCAGCTCAACTGATTCTCAAAATAAGTTAACCATAAGATAGATTTTGGGACTTCCTTTTCCTCCTTGGCCCCATGTGAATACTGCATTTTGCTTGTTGTTTCATGAACCACAACGGCTTTACCATTTTAGACATGAGAGTCAACGACAGGTTATGCCTGATTGATTGCAAGAAAATTAGGATGTCTTGGTTATCATTACCATGGAAGGACATCTTTGTATGGGATGTCAAAGCTCTCGTACCCATTGGAAAGGACACTCGGTGCTTCAACCATTTTATTTTCTAGGGACGTTTTCTTCTCTTCCATTCCTTCAGGAAATTGCATGAAAATGTTTAAGTTGAAGGTTTCAAAGAGGTGAAGGAGTAATATCAAGTACATTGAAGTGATTCAAAAACCATTTTTCTTTTTAAATCGATTCAAGAGCTTTAAACAAATGCTGTTCTAAACCGACTTGACATCCTATTTGTTCTAACATGTACAACTCACTGCATCAAAAAATCCTGTTTGACAGAAGGGTCCCCTACTTCATGGTAAAATACGTGATACCTTTTTGGTCCCTGATTTATCAAACAGTTTTCTTTTATCCTTCACAAGCTCAAATCCATTTCAGGTTCCCCAAAATATTACTACCCAACCAGTCGAAAGCTTCATTGGAACTATTTAAATTAGAACCGCAAGGAAGGAAGAACTTGGATGTAATTCATCTCTTACCATCAATTACATCTCAACAATTTAATATTTTATACAACAAAAAATATTTTATTACTGTTATTAAGTTATATTATTAAATAATAAAATATTAATATTCAGCTAATTAATATTTAGTAAATTACATAATTATTGAAATATATTAAATACAATTTAAAATAAAAGGGCAGATCAACTTACACAAAAAAAAAAAGTTCTATATCTTCTTATATATATTTTTTTAATCATTGACTTCACTAAATTTAAGAGATGTGAGAAACAAATTTAAAAAATAAAAAATAATTTAAGCTCCTCTATTAAATTTATTAAGAGCAATAGTTAAAAAAAATTGTAAAACTTTTTTAATGAAAATTAATCCCTCCCACTAAAATAATATTAATTAATTATTTAATAAGTTAAACGTTCATTTAATTAATAATATTAATTATTTAATAATTTAAACCTAAAAAAATCAAAATTCAATATAAAAACCAAAATATTAGTAACATCTAACCTCAATTTTATATACTGTAGAAATAGTAAAATATATTTTAAATATTTAATATAAAAATTTAAGAAAAAATTGAAAATAATAAAAAAAAAACCATGCGAAATGTAAATAACTTGTCATGTGTCGATCAAGAAAGATCAAGACTTTCTTTTATATATTTAAATAAAATTTAAAAAATTTAAAAAAATAAAAAGCTGCAAACGTTGCAAGTAAATAGATTGTACCATAAATACAATACTATAAATATAGATATAAATGCATAAGCATATAGATTATATAATATTAAAATTGAAATGATATTACTATTAAAATAATATTTGATTATTTACTAATAATATTAGTAACTAATAACATATTTTTATAAAAAAACTAATAACATATTAAAATTTTATTGTTTTAATTACATCTAATATATTAATTAATATTATATAATTTTAAAATTAAATGATATGATAGGGTTAAAATACTATATTTTCATGTACTTTATATTCAATATTTTGAAGTATATATATTTTTTACTTTTTTATATTCAAATAAATTTACATGTTAATTTTGAAATATTTAATTTCTAATTCGTTATTTTAATTTTTTATTATTTCATATTAATCAATAATATTTTTATTTATAAATTAATTTAATATATAATTTTAATTCTTAATATGTATAAATTATTTTAATACATAAATATTATTCATTTAATAAAAAAAAAATATTTTTAAAAATAATGAAAACAAAAAGTTTTTACTTCCAATAATTTTAAAACTATTATTTATGTTTTTTTAAACAATAATATATTGTTAAACATAGATTTTTCAACTATTTTGAAAAAATTAAAAGGGAAAACAACAAATTATAAAAAAAAACAAAAGAATAAGAAGCGATCCCTTAACTTCTTCTCTCTCTCAAAAAAAAAAACATTTTTTATTTTTTATTTTGCCCCTCATTTTATCCACTCCCAGCGCCAGCCGATCCCATTATCAGCTGTGTGGAACGAAAAAAACAAAAAAAAAAAAGCCCAAAGCCAAAGAGTACCGACCTTTCCCTTCTTTAAGAAAAAGAAACATTAAGAAATCAAACAATTTTCCACAATAATCACGAAACCCTGTAAACTCTGTCTCTCTCTGAGTCTCGAGAATCTCCCTCGTCTTAATACAATTTTTCTCTGACTTTCTTTTTTTCGGTTTTCGGGGTCCCCTTTATATCTTTTCTATTGGAGGCTTTGGGTTTTTTTTTTTTTTGATAGCCATGGCCGACGGAGAACAACAACGTTAACATCACCACCGGCGTCGTCGACAATAAAAGGCGGAGACCTTAAAATTCTCGAAAGTTTGGATTTTTATTTGTACTTTGTTTTTGGGTTTTGTGCCTGTTTTTCTTCCCTTTAGGGTTAGAGTAGTTTTCTAATTGGATTCCCCAATTTTGGTGATGTAATCTTTCCTTAATAGTCTTATTATATAAGGAAAAAAAAAGGATTAGCCTTTTCTTCTGTAATTTCAGTTTCAATTTTGGTTGTATCCTCCTAAATACCTACAATCAGCAATTATTTGATTCTTACCTCTCCATTTATTCTTTTTCTTTTTATTTTATATATCTAGGAAGAAAAGAAAAAAAATCTGTGAAAGAATTATCAATAAAATTTTGATTAATTATCATTTGGTTGCATAAAAAAAGTGAGACAGAGAGAGAAAAAGAAAAGAAAAAAATTCTAAAAATTAAGAATAATGAGTAGTCCTGGATTGGGACATCGAAACAGTGGGCAAAGATTAGGCATCACGGAACCTATTTCGTTGGGTGGACCGACTGACTATGATGTGATCAAAACCCGAGAGCTCGAGAAGGTTTCTTTTTAACCGCATTTTCACTATTGTATTTTGTTTAGTATTTGTTTTCTTTTGAAGTTATTAAGTCTGAGACTATCACGAATTGTGGTTTTTGTGGAATTTTGGACTTTCAGTATTTGCAAAATGTGGGATTGTATGAGAGTCAAGAGGAGGCTGTTAGTCGGGAGGAAGTCCTGGGGAGGCTAGACCAGGTTGGTTTATAGTTTTTAACTGTCTGGCTCGTAATAATTTGAAGTAGAATGACTTGTTATGGTACTTCTATTTCTTGCTTAATCATCGAATGTGGGTTTGTGTTTTTGGTATGTAGTGATTGACAATGATGTTATTCTTGATTTTAAATTGAACAGATTGTGAAGAATTGGGTTAAAGCAATTAGCCGTGCGAAAGGTTTAAATGAGCAATTGGTCCAAGAAGCAAATGCTAAGATATTCACCTTTGGTTCTTATCGACTAGGGGTATGATCATTTTCTTGTCTTTGCTTCTTTGTATTTTATCCCTTCATTTCACTTTAGTTGCAGTCCTGAAAGTTATAAAGAAAAAAGCATTAGAATCTAATGAATTTTTTTTCTATATTTTTGTAATGCACAAACAATATTACTAGCTGATGATGAGATGGTGGACACACTTATAGCACTGGAGGTAGTATCTTCAAGCCACTATTGATGTGGTGTATGTTTCTACAAGTTTCTGCAAAGAAAGAAGCTTGTCATATTTGTTCATATATTCGTAGCTGATGTCATGTCTTTAGGAAGACTTGGTGGTTTATCCAGAAGTTGACCGTCACATTGAGCTGGCTATTTCAGCTTGCATCTAAGTTTATGGGAAAGAAAATACTTTATGCAGTGTACTTGCTAGATCTGTTATATATTTCATTTGTGAAACAATACATGGTTTTGTGGAAGAATGATTTCATTTTTCTTCTTTGTGCAATATCAGCCATTGCTGTTTAGGGTTTTATTTTATCTGTCAAGGTTGTTAAGTTCAAGAGCAAACTTGTAATCTTTGACATACCTGCGTAGTAGGTTTATTTTCTAATTTGGTGAGATTTAGGATATACTAGGATCTTGTCTTGGTTTACATCTTTTGATTTATAGTTGGTCCAATAAGACTGGAATAAGGCATTTCATCTTTGGATTCTTGTTTTCCATTTTAACAAAGGAGATAAATTTATGTCTATAATTTGATGTTCTACGGTCCAGTTATGAAAGCATATTGTTTTCAGATGATTGATGTCTATAGCTCTTCAAGTTTAATAGTTCTCTAAACTTCAAAATAATGCCTTCAAGTACATCATTTCTCCACCTCATTGCTTTGAATTTGGAGTTCTAGTTCATCTCGCTTCCATTTTTTTTTAAACAGGTGCATGGTCCTGGTGCAGATATAGATACACTTTGTGTGGGGCCGAGACACGCAACACGTGAAGTGCGATCAGATCTTTCTCTGCTTATTTACAGCAGTTTTCTTTCATTTGAGAAAGTGTTGATTGACTAACTTAAAAAAATGCATCTATATGTTTTGATGTAGGAGGATTTCTTTGGTGAACTACACAAGATGCTATCAGAGATGCCTGAGGTATCGGAATTGCACCCTGTGCCTGATGCTCATGTCCCAGTCATGAAATTCAAATTCAAAGGAGTTTCCATAGATCTTCTTTATGCAAAACTCTCACTTTGGGTTATTCCTGAAGTAAGTACTGGTTTACCTAGTGTCTGTCTTTAAATATCATCTCCTATGTTTTATTGTCTTCTTTTTTAAGAATCATTGTTCTAGTTGGTTCTTTGCTACTGATTTAGAAAAATATTTAGCTAACTGATGAAACCTGTTACTATTTCCACCAAAGTTTTTAGTTTGAGCAAGCTGGGCCTTTACTGTTTGGAATCAGTATTAGGTTTTGGACGTGAAGTCACTACCAGATGGGTTATATCAGTATTTTATTTGTGAATGATGACATCCAATGCTTTATGAAGCATTAAAAGTGGACTCCCTTTCCCATTATATTTGCTTCTCTGCATGTAGTTTACTTGGTTCCTTTGTCTTCCTTTCCTTTGGTCATGTATAGTGAGAGGAGTTAACGTAATTAAAATATAAACAATTTAATTAGTCATGGAGGAATTTGGTGTATCAAGTCCCCTTGTAGTTTGGAGGTTGCTTCAGCTTGCAGGTATTGTTGTGGTCAAGAATCCAAACAAAACCTCAGGTCTACTTCCATTATGAGTCTTGCCGCACAAACTCTACCAGAAGGAATGTGCCTATGGTCAGTGATTTACATTGGAGCAATCCTCTAGGTATAAAATGATAAATAATCCCATTGTAGATGGACTTACTCGTTAATTTCAAAAGACAAACCAGGTAGCTCCATTCTATTGTTGTAGTCAATGGCTATGAAGAAATTTGTTTCCTTTGTTACCTAAAAATTCAGTTCCATCTCTGAATTGGACATGATTTCCAAGAGAAAAACTGTCAGTTTTCAAGCCTAGGTGACCTAGGGATCAAGCCTTTACCTATAATTGACGTTAGCCTTTATAAAACTGCAGATATTAAAGGATTTTAATGTCCAAAGTTGACTAGATAGGGTAAAAGGGCAGTGTGTTACTTATGTTTTGCAAGCTTATGTAAATTGTTAGAATTGCTTGGTTCTTCATAACAAGATTTAAGGTAAAGATCGAAGAATCGATGGACCATCCTACAACAAGCATGCATGATTTGAGGCAATGGATAACACATATACTCTCCTTCAACACAATGTAAAAAACAACTTAGAATAGTAGATTGTAACCTCTTTAACAATTTGAAAATATTAATGATGATCATTAGAGCTATGCACTTTTTGAGGTATTCTGAGAGAGAACAGGTACTATTTTTACCCAGTTTTATCTATGAAATAGGGAGAGATGATGTTTTGTGCATTAATTCTTTGCATAGCAACTTTGTCTTTTCTTAAACTTAAAATTCATTACATGGCAAGTCTTTTTTTTTTTTTTTTATTGAAATGTTTCTGAAAATTTTCTCATAGCTTATGTAAATTTCTGGTGCAGGACTTAGATATTTCACAAGACTCTATTTTACAAAATACAGATGAGCAGACAGTTCGTAGTCTTAACGGTTGCAGAGTCACTGACCAAATTTTACGGTTGGTTCCAAATATTCAGGTTGTGGCTGCCACTTCGTGAATTGTATACAAACAGATATTTTCTTCCCCAAAGATTCTTGATTGTGTTTCTGTTGCATGACCTACAGAATTTCCGGACAACTTTGAGATGCATGAGGTTTTGGGCAAAACGTCGTGGTGTTTATTCTAATGTATGGGATGCTTTTCATATTGGCAAGATTATGCTCTAGATCTCCTTTTTTCTTTATATTAAAAAGTGATATTTTTTGTTTTGGGCAGGTTTCTGGTTTTCTTGGTGGTATAAACTGGGCATTGCTTGTTGCTCGTATATGCCAGCTATATCCTAATGCTCTGCCCAATATGTTAGTTTCTCGATTTTTTAGGGTGTATACCCAGTGGCGTTGGCCAAATCCAGTCTTGCTTTGTGCAATTGAGGAAGGATCTCTTGGTCTTCAAGTTTGGGATCCCCGAAGAAATCTGAAAGATAGATATCACTTGATGCCTATAATTACTCCTGCTTATCCTTCCATGAATTCTAGTTACAATGTGTCATCGAGTACTTTGCGAATCATGACAGATGAATTTCAGAGGGGTAATGAAATTTGTGAGGTATGGTCTTATGGTTCATGTCAGATCTCTTCTTACCAATTTGCTGTTTTATTTTTCATTAGCATAAGATGATCCCACTTGAAGTAGTTTATTATTTTGCCAATAAACCCCAAAAGCAAACAAAATACTTACAAAAATTTCAAGATGTAGTGTATAAGCTTCTTTGGAGCATTTTCATGAATACCTATTGGGTGGTTATGTCAGATGGAGAGGGAGAGATTGAGGAGAGAAAGACGGTGAAATTTGTTTTAAGTGTAGAGAAGATGTAGAGGTTTTGAGTTTGGGGACTGTATTGGAGAGTATGAGCTATTTATTTGGATACCAAGCTGGAATCAGAGAAGATGCTGCTGCGGGAGGCAAAGGAGGAGAGAGAGAATAGAGAGAAGAAAATGAGAGAGGCAAAATTCAATAAATACTGAAAATGAAGAAATTAAAAAAAAATATGAATTAGCATTGGTGTTGATCTTAGATTAGAAAAAATGCTTGATGAGCATTTTGTTTTACATATAAGTATGTTATTTGACACTAATTTATAGACAAATAAAGTTACAATATTGTTTCCTTTTTGAAAAAATGTTGACATGTGCATAAGTATCTTAGGCACCACAAAATGATCAGGTGCACTTATTAGAATTATGAGTTTACTTAGCAATGTATCCTTTTCATTATAGCTCATGATTGGGGTTTGGTACCCAATGACAGTTGTTTGAATTTCAAAATAGTTTCTAGGTGGATTAATGATCTTGTTATCTCTTTCTTTACAATATATTTTTTGAACACTCATGATTGTTGATAAAAAATTTCAGTGTGAATGTGTGATAATCAACTGCATTAGTGAATGTTGAGACCTCAATTCATGATTAACATCTTTAATGTTTTGTTGGGCAACTAGAATTTGTATTTGGACCCTTTGTTTGGATATTTTAGTGAAATCCAGAATCTTAAGAACAAATTCAAATCTATTTTTTTGATGGATTAGGTTTCGATTTGAACTAGGGAGAAGAAGTTTAATTGGCTGGATTATTCTAATTCCAAGCCAAAGAAGTTTGTATTTTGGGTACATAGCAAAAGAAAGTATTTGAAAATTTAATATTTGGCCTTATTTTAAAATCATAGGCATATTTGGTTCAGATTTAAGTCCATGCAGTTTTGAATGACTTCCCAACTAAGAATTTGTTTCTAGCCGAGCTCAAAATCCTTCACCATCCAATCCTTGTTTCCAAAAGAACTATAAAACTTGTTGGTTGTGTGGTTTTCACCATACCATGTTGTTTAATAATTTCTATATTTCTTGATTTAATATTAATTTTACACTTTTGTCAACGGTTGTTCGAGCTTGCAGGCTATGGAGGCAAACAAAGCTGACTGGGATACCCCTTTTGAGCCTTATGCTTTCTTTGAAGCATACAAGAATTATCTACAAATAGACATCTCTGCAGAAAATGCTGATGATTTAAGGAAGTGGAAAGGCTGGGTTGAGTCCCGTCTCCGTCAACTCACATTGAAGGTGAAACATACTTTACTTTCTAAACCATTTTCTTTTTTTGGTACAAGAAGGTACATAAGGTTAGAGTTCTAGATTTAATCTTCTGAAAATTTCCCAACTCACCTCTTACAAATGTACGCTGGAGTGGTTTTGTATGCCCTACCCTTTTTGTCTTTTTTATGCTTCTAATGTATTATAATCGTAATTTTCAATTGTTTTTTTTGTAAATCTAGATTGAAAGGGATACATATAACATGCTTCAGTGTCACCCACATCCTGGCGATTTTCAAGACAAATCTAGGCCTTTCTGTTGCAGCTACTTTATGGGTTTGCAACGCAAACAAGGAGTTCCAGTAAATGAAGGTGAACAATTTGATATAAGGTTAACTGTCGAGGAGTTTAAACACTCTGTTAATATGTACACTTTGTGGAAGCCTGGAATGGAAATCCATTTAACCCATGTAAAACGTAGGAACATACCTAGCTTTGTATTTCCTGGTGGTATCCGACCTTCCCGTCCATCTAAAGTAACCTGGGATAGTAGGAGGGTATCAGATACAAAAGTTTCTGGCCATGGTGTATCAGACAAGTTGGGTGAAGTTAAAGGCGCTTCAGATGGACAGGATGAAGGAAAGAAGAGGAAGAGGGTAGATGACAATGTAGACGCTCAATTGAAAAACAGCAAATATATTACTGCTGTGCCTTCCTCTAGTCCAGAAGTTAACTTGGGTAGTCCTGTCAGCACTGTGAGTTCTTGTTCCATTAAGGTTGACCATTCAGATGCAATGAGATTGGTTGAAACATCAAGGGAAAAAGCTGGGAATAATACGACGAATGGCTTAATAAATTCAAGAAACATGGAAGAGCTTTCTTATCATAATGGTGAGGTTGATGGGGCACTTAGATGTATTATTCCAAATAAGGATTTTCTTGTGACTGCTGATGCATCAAGCTGTAAAGAGGCTGAGAAGTTGGCTATTGAGAAAATAATGTCTGGTCCATATGTTTCCCACCAAACATTTCCACAGGAACCTGAAGAGCTTGAAGACGATTTAGAATTTAGAAACCAGGTCAGATCTGTGGGGAACACTAATAGTGGCCCTCTGGAGTCTTCAATGTCAGATTCGGCAGGTGCAGCCCCAGTACTATCAAGCAATGGAGCTGGTCCTTCCACCGGTTTAGATGCTAGTTGGGTTATAGAGGAGTTAGAGGTTGTTTCTACTATCCTTGTCAGTTATTACTGGATTCTAGAAGCTTTATTATTTCTTGCTTTCATTACATTGCTAGATATCCCTGTTATAATTAGTTTTTTGCATATATTTGCTTGAGCTCTGCTTCTTGTTTTTGGGAACAGCTTTCTTCGCTAGGAGGCAAGGTCAAGTCTACCATTGTGCCTGCAAACAAAATTTTCTTCTCTTTCTGATAATAAAACCTTTTAGCATAATACACACCAAGATCCAATTTTAATGGTTGTTCTTACAAAGTATGGAACAATTCTGACTGTTACTAGTTTTCATGTATAGCCTGCGGAGCTTACTGCATCAATACCAATACCATCTGTGCCACTGGTCGAGAGGAAGCCGCTAATAAGGTAATTGCAATTGCTTTGTTTAGTACAAGTACTCATTCAAGATATGAGGAGGATTAGTTGTTTGCCATAGCACAATTGATCTTCTTATATTTGCTTTGTGATTTCAGATTGAACTTCACTTCCTTGGGTAAAGCTTCTGAGAAAAGTGGGTGAGAGGGAGTTGGAAAGGTTTATGTATGATAAGTGAAGTTAATTCTTCACTGTAGTCCTTTCTGGCCTTTTTGTAACAGCTAAGATTTATAGTTAATAAAAAAAAAAGAGTTTGCGAAAGTTCCATCTTTTAATTGTGTCAATGAAATGTAGATTGCTACATGGTAATATTGATAAAGCAGCTGGAAACGTAATCGGTGAATGCCGGCTGTTATATTACTTATGCCTTAAGCTTGTCTTTTCCTTTTGCTATTGCATTACATTAATTACGTGGATTTTTTTTCCCAAGTCTGCACGAAGGTTTATGGTTATCACATGTGGGTTAGCTGTAATTAACAAAGAATATTAACTGACGTTTATACCTGGCCAAAAAATAATAATAATACCAAACGTTTATTAAATTATTTTCGTTTTGATATTTTTTATGAAACTAATTTCAATCGGAAATCTATTTGTACTTAGAATTTTCTTTTGAAAAAAAAAATTTATGTTTAGTTTTAATCAAAGATTAATAGTTTAAAATTTTGGGCACAATTTGTTTGGCCGTTTTGTTGTTCTTTTAACTTTTGAAAGTAAAAGGGAAATTGTATTTGGATTTTGTTAAAAAATAAAAAGATAATGTCTTATTCGACAATTGAACTAATACATTTTTTTAGTGTGATATACAAATAAAAAAAATTTTTAATAAGATATTTAAACTATATTTTTTAGTGTTAATTTATCTTGATCATTAATACCATTAATTTTAAATGTTTGTAGTATTAATATCTAATAAGACGTTGAAATGTGTAAAAAAAAAAAAGTTTCATCAATGCCATATCATCAATGTCATAACAACATTAAAAGAAAATTTCAAAAAAAAAAACTTTTTTAAAAATTTTTAAAATTCTATAAAATTTTCTAAATATTTTTAAAAATTCAAAAAAATTCTATTTTTTTTAAATTCTAAAATTTCAAAACTTATAAAAGCTAAACCTTTTTTTAATTTCATTTCTTCCTCCCATTCCCAAAAAAAAAAAATATTTTCTTTCAAACAACAAACAATCAACTCTTCCTTTAGAAAAATTCTAAAAAAAATTAAAAATTTTAAAAATTTTGAAAATTTTAAAAATTTTAAAAAAAATTTTAGAAACTTTTAAAAATTCTAAAAATTTTATTAAAAAATTTCAAACTTATAAAAACTAAACTTTTTTTATTTCATTTTTTCCTCCTATTCTAAAAAAAAAAAAAATCCTTTCTCTCTCAAATAACTGGCCCTTTTTCAATCCAATTTTTGGCATCGATTTGCCTTTAGATTTCACCAAAAAGCTCTTCTCTTCCTCATCGTCCTTGTTTTCAAGTTGATTTCACAAAAACGTTGTAGATTTCCCTAGATCTAACCAAAACCTATGGCTATTAATGGCTAAAAGTCTGACCATCACTACTCTAAATGCCATTTTTTCAAAGTATGTCCTTTACCTAGCCCAAACCTCCATCATAAAAAAATATAAAAATAGAGCCCCTTAGTAAAGCCCCGAATTGATACTTATGGCTCCCTCTTTTACTATTATTTTTTTTCTTTTCTTGAGTTTTACTTCTATAATTTTTTTTGGAACTACTTCTCCTCGTTTCAAGGGTTTGTGTTTGATTTTCCTATGCTTTTTATGTGGCAAGATGGGGCTATGTTTTGTGGTGGTGAAGGGAAGGCAGCTATTCAGAGCCAATGGACTGGATTTGAGGATGGTGGGTGGATTGTCAAATGGTGGTGCCTTGCAGTGGTGTTGATCAAGGGAGGTTGGTGATAAGTGAGGTCTTTGCCATGGTTGTCGTGGGTGGCTATGAGGTTTTGATGATGATGCTGGAAAGAGTTATAAGATTTTTGAATATTTAGAGATTTTCAATTTTTAGTGTCTTTCTCTTTAGCTAATTCAATTTTTTGAAAATTTTAAATTTTTTTAGATCTTTTCTATAGAATTTTTTAGAATCTTTTAAAAATTTTAAATTTTTAAATTAAATTTTTAAAAATTTTTGAAACTTTTTTAAAAATTTTTTAGATTTTTGGGATAATGTTTCATTTTTTGGGATAATGTTCCTTTTTATATTTTATATTATTTTTAAAATTTTTAAAATTTTTTAGAATTTGTAGAATCTTTTATAATTTTTTTCTTGAATTTTTTTATAATTAAATTTTTTTTTTTAATTTTTCAAAAAAACAAAGGGCTAGTTGTCTATTATTAGTTGAGATAGAAAGGATATTATTTTTGTTGAGTGGGAGGAAAATGAAATAAAAAAAAAATGTTTAGCTTTTATAAGTTTTGAATTTTCTTTTTAAACTTTTAGAAATTTTTTTTAGAACTTTTTGAAAATTTGAATTTTTTAAAAAATTTTTAGAATTTTTAATATTTTCTTAGAATTTTTAAATTTTTTTAGATTTTTTTTAATTTTTCTTTTAATGCTGACGTGACATTAATAATGTGAATTTAACTGAATTTTTTGACACATGTCAACATATTATTGGATGTTAATGCTACGTTAGTGTTTAGAGTTAATGGTGTTAACGGTTAGAGCAAATTAACACACGAAAAATTAGTTTAAGTACCTAATTAGAAATTTTTTATGTTTATGTACCACATTAGAAAAAATAAAATAGTTTAGGGGTCAAATGAGACATTATCCCATAAATAAATAATATTTTAAAAAGATTTTATATAAAATATATGATTGTTTTAAATGATAAAATGTATAACATACTTCTATATAAATTATGTTAAAATTAGCATTACATTTTAATCATTTGTCTATTTTAATTGTTCTTTAATAGTTTTAATTAATTTTTAATTAATTAAATACTCAATTTAAGATCTATTCTTTGGTATATATATTAATCAATGCATTGCCAAGTTTCAACATGATGAAAAAAAAAAAAAGATCACATGTAACAAAGAAATTCTTACATTACATAAAATATTTTTTTTAAATAAAAATACATATATAAAAACCCTAATCAACACATATTAATAAATATATATATATATATATATATATATATTTTAACAATCATGATATATTATTAGAGTATTGAACTCTTAATTTCAATTATCAAAATTCAAAATTTGACAACATTTTTTTTTATTATTATTAAAAGAGTGATTTCATTCATATCTAAAGTTTCCAGAATACATATCACTGTCCACAATATATTGCAAAAAAATAGGACATTCCTCTACCTAATATTTCTCTTTATCTACTAACCCTTGTTTTGCTAAATAGTGTGCACCATTAATTTTGTCTCTAGTAACATGTGATAATTTGCAGTCTACGAACCTTTTAATTGTTTCACTTGCTCTAGTTATCATATTACTGATCGAAGATTGGTCGTCATGCTTTTTCTTCAACTTATTAATCAAAATGAGCGAGTTCCTTTCTAGTTTTATCTTTTGTAATCCTAAGTTTTTTGCAAAGTTCAAGACTTTAACCACTGCTAGGCTTCAACCGCAAATGCATTTGTTACTTTTACTAAGTAGACATGGCAAGTTCCAATCATGTTGCCTTCTTAGTTTCTAATTAGCCCTACTCCTTCCCGTTTCCTCGTCTTCTTAACCACCCTAACGAAATTAACTTTGTAGCTTCCTTTTGCTAGTGGTCTCCAAGTAGGGATGGCGAGCTAACCCATCCCCGACGGGTTCCGGCTCAATCCGACCCCACGGGGTCAATTTTTTTTTTAAATTCGGGTTTTGGGGTCGGGTCGAGTAAAATAAAGAAACATTCAGGGTCGGGTCAGGTTCGGGTTTGCCTAAAACCCGACCCGACCTGACCCGATATTATATAAAAAATTATTTTTTAATTAATTATTTAATTTTTTATTTTATATATATTTATATAATGATATTTTTAAATATTTATATTTAAAAAATAATATTTTATATTTAAAAAAATAATATTTTATTAATTCGGGTCGGGTCGAGTCAGGTACGATTTACATGGTATTGGGGTCGAGTCGGGTTAGGGTATGAAAAATCAAAAAAAATTTCGGGTAAGATCGGGTTCGGATTTAATAAAGCATTAAATTGGGTCAGGTTCGGGTCGAGCAAAACCCGCCTCGAACTCGACCCGATGCCAACCCTATCTCCAAGTACTCTGTTTTTATGATAGCTCACTTGGATTATGTTGTTAGGTTCTCTTTAGTTGTGTCATATATTCCTTTGCAAAAATCGTTGACATCCTAGGATCCTTCTATTGCTCACCATACATTTCACGATTCTTATCGTTCTATATTGTTCATGTTTCGATAAAAAAAAAATGAATCGATTTTCTATTAGCTTTGTCAACACATCTATCATCCAGTCTAGGCTATCAGTTTGTTGGTTAAATTCTTCATTTCATTGCATGTCTAGGTTATCCCATATTTTACTTACCTAGCTACAATCCCTTACTGCATGCATTATAGCCTTTTCTTAAAAATTGCATATTGTGTATGCATTATGGACAAGAATTTGTTTTCTTCTTAGGTTTACTATGATCGGTAAGAACCTTTTATTGACTTTTTAGTTCAAGGTTTTAATTTTTGTGGGAACGTTGCTTTTCCAAATAAGCGGCCAAAATTTTTTTCCTTTTTTTGTTTTTTCCATTGCTACTTTATTTCCCTATTTCTCTTTGCTAAAATTACGTAATAACTTGTAGCTACTTTTCACTATATAGTACCTTTTATTTTCAAAATGCCATACTAATCTATCAGGTTGGTCCATATTGTTTAATAGCATCTCACTAATTACCTCAGCTTCTTCTAGTGTAAATTGATCCATCAAGCTATTCTATTTCCACCTGTACGATTGGTTGTCGATTAGGTCTGTTACAAGTTCCCTTTGATCATTGTTATTCACTAGTTGTTACAGTTAAAAATTATTTGCTAAAGAGAGCCAAAGATCAGACCATATATATGCTGATTTTCATTCTCAATATGCCATCTTAGTTCTTTTCTTGAAACAACCCTTGTTGACAAATGCTTTGGCATGTTAACGAGGGGTGGGCTCTAAGTTCTGCTTCAAGAAAGTTACACCATGAAAAATACTTAGACTTAAGGATTCTATGAACAAACATGTTTTAGTTGGATAAGAGTCTTCATTATTGCTTAGCCAAAATTGTTTTGTTAAAATCCTTCATTTCTCTGAAGCTTATACCACCTTCATTCTTTGGCCAACATATTTTCCTTCAATTCTGCTAATGGATCCCCTTTTTCTCTATGTCATTTCTCCATAATAGTTGTTGATCAATTGATTTAGTTTATCGCACAAGGTTCATGACAACAAGAAGCATCTCATGGCATAAGTTGGAACTAATTGTAGGATCGATTTGATGAAACCTTCCTTCTTGCCCAATGATAGCATCTTTTGGCT